GGAAGTGAGTAACAAAATGTTTGCTTGTAAGCGAAGGAGTCCGACAGCATTTGTAACATGTGTGAACCATTAAGTGTGTGTGTGATTGAGACATGAAGTCTGTTTACCCTACTGAGTCATCAGTTCTAGACCTCAGACCTCTGATTGAAAGTTATAGATGCCACATGTCTGTGTGTGTGTGAGACAGGGAGAAGAGCGTCCCCTTGTGACGGACACCAGCTCCATCAACGCACTACAAGGAGACCTGGAGGAAGGAGGAACCAGAGAGGAGGTGAGGGAGCTAGGGGTAGAATGTAGGAGGAAACAGGGTCGTGTTCATTAATGGAAGACGTACTAAAAGGTTTTTCAACTGAAAACGAAAATGGGTTTTTATTGGACAAGGTAGTCCCTCCCGGTTTCGGTCTGTTTTTTAAAAAATCTTCATTTGGTGTTTAGTGAATACGGCCCAGGTAAGGGCTAAGTGTTGATGTGGGATTCTGGTTTGAACTGTTGTTAAAACCCTTTCTCTCCTCTCCTGCAGGAGTTTGATACAGTGGATGTGTTCATGCACCAGGCCATCCACACTATAGAGTACTGTCTGGGCTGCATCTCCAACACTGCTTCCTATCTACGACTCTGGGCCCTCAGCCTCGCACATGCACGTGAGTCTCACACACTGTCACACGCATATTCACACACACAAACATCACTGGCACATTGTCACATGCACACACACTCACACACAAACAACAAACGTCACTGGCACATTGTCACATGCACGCACAAACACAAACGTCACTGGCACATTGTCACATGCACGCACACACACACAAACAAACGTCACTGGCACATTGTCACATGCACACACAAACAAACGTCACTGGCACATTGTCACACGCACACACACACAAACAAACGTCACTGGCACATTGTCACACGCACACGAACGTCACTGATACATTGTCACACACAGCCACACACACACAAACTTAAATCTAAGTTTCCTACCTTATCTATACACGTCTCGGGCTCTTTCTCAAGTGTTTTTCAAATCCGTCCTTCATGGCACTGATCTGAAAGAACTGACCAGGTGAAAGCTAGCCTATTGATGAGCTTCCATCATATGGTTTTCTTTGACCTGTCGTGTATTTTCTAATCAGAATTGATGAAGGCCAGGAGACAAGGAGAAGACTATGTTTAAAAAAAAAAAAACAGGAAACCCTTTGCCTATCACCTTTAAGCAATCGAAAGAGAGCCCACATTCTATTCCCAAGTTGACCCCAAATGTGAACGATGCCAACATAACACTGCAGCTCATGGACATACAGTATGTTCTGGTTGTGTCCAAAACTAAAAGGCTGTTGGGATGCTATTTTGAATGCAATATCCAATATAACATAAGTATCTATAACTCCTGACCCACTGATAGCTATCTTTGGGATAGCTGCTGGTAGTTCTTAAATAGTAAATGCCTTGCCATATGCTTGTCTGATTTTGACCCACTGGAAAAACCCAAACCTACCATCTTACAGTCAATGGGTTAATAGCATGTTGCAAAGTCTCACTTTGGAGAAAATGAAATGTACACTATGTGGATCCACAACTTTATTTTAGAAGACATGGCAACATTTTCTTTCTTTTGTTGAAACCAATACCAGTATTTGATTGATTATGTACCTGAGTTTACATTTGTACTCATGTGTATAGATATGTGAACCTCAATATGAGGATATCAATAAAATAAAATAAAATGTTGGGTGGACGGGGAGGGATTTGGACACTGTGTAAAAAAATTATAAAAACGATATATTGCTGGTATTTTTAAACTAATGCTCTGTCATAAGTGACTATCCTGTCTGCTAAGCCATCTTGGAACGTATCAGTTGGGCTGCGTTTGAACGTGCGACCTGGTTCTGTTAGTTTTTTCCCGCTGGTTGGTCTTTTAACCAATCAGATCAGCTCTGAGAAAGATCTGATGTGAAAATGTCTGGTGTTGTTGGTCGGGGAACCGATTGGTGGAGGGGATATAATAATTGGGCTTCCTATGTAAATGCACGTTGATATTGTACACATATATATATATATATATGTATATACATATATATATATATATATTTTTTTTTTTAAACCGCTCTTCTACATACGTACAATAATTTATATTTTTGTATGTGATCAAATAAAATGTATAAAAAAATTAAGAGCCCACATGAATTTGTATGCTTTTTGCTAAATGGAAAAGTGACAGACGACTAATGGTGCTTTCAAGACAACTGGGAACTCTGAAAAAAATGAGGTCAAATCATGACATCAGTGCTCTTCATGTCGGAGCTCTAGAAAGATGCCTGAGTTTCCGACTTGGAATTCCATGTTGGATGACCTTTCAAAATAATTTCCCCCCAGAGTTACCAGTTGTCTTGAACGCACTGAAGTCAGAGATTTCAGAGTTCCCAGTTGTTTTGAATGTGGCATAATACCAGTTGCGTGTGTGTTGCAGAGCTGTCGGAGGTGCTATGGGTGATGGTGATGCGTATCAGCCTGTCGTGGCAGGGCTACGTGGGATCTGTAGTTCTAGCCGTCATATTTTCCTTCTTCGCCACGCTCACCGTCTCCATCCTGCTCGTCATGGAGGGGCTGTCCGCCTTCCTGCACGCGCTCAGATTGCACTGGTGGGTCAAACACACAAACATCCTGCAGCCACTATTTTTTCCCCCATCTCTCTTAGTCATTCACATACCAAAACACAAACTGTTGCCCCTCAATGTCTTCCATCTCTCACCCACACAAGTACAAACACATTAAAGTATGCACCCACAACCAGTTGATTTTTATCCCAAGCACGCACGGGGATGTGTGAAACTCCTCAGCCTGAAGTGTCGCAGAATTGTGAACGTTTCGGGTGGCGCCAACTGGTAAGACGCTTCGGAAGGGCAGTGACGTGTGCTAGCAAAGCAGAGGTCCTTGGTTCGCGCCTCAGTGTGAGTCGTATCAGGAGGAAGTGGTACTCGCTAAATAAGCAGCGTGACGCCCTTAACACACACCACACCATTCTCTATCCCTAACATTCCCATTTTCTTTCTTCCCAGGGTGGAGTTCCAGAATAAGTTCTACAGTGGAACGGGATACAAGCTCAAACCTTTCTCCTTCTGTTCTATACTGAACCCACTATAGGCTTTCAACACAGGACATTGTTACAGAGGCAGATATAGCCCAATGTAAGCTTGTATGAAGTTGTTTTATACCGCTTTCAACACAGGACGTTATGTTACATATGAAATACTGACAGATATAGGGTGTCTGAAATGGCAACCTATTCCTTATATAGTGCACTACTTTTGACCAAAGCCCTATGTACCCTGGTCAAAGGTAGTGCACTATATATGGAACCCTAGGGAATAGGGTTCCATTTCAGATGCATCCATAGCCTAATATCAGCTGATACTACATTTTTTTTACTTGAATTTTTATCTTGCATATGGTATCCTTCTTAAAAAAGGAGAGGAACTTGTGTATATAGTTAGCGTTTAGTTTTGCTCAGGAAGCGGTTTTTGACTTGCAGTTTCTCTTTAATGATGAGCCTACAACAGAGATGGCTACTGTAGGAGTGCACTACGTTTCCCAGGGACCACTGGGGCACCATTTTGTGGATGGGAGCTTTCCATGTTATGACCACTAATAAATGAATGCCATTAAATAATTGTTTTATAATCCCTGAAAGCTTGTGGATTGTCTCTACTTTACTGAAAACCCACTACAATGTTGAGTATGAACACTGCAGCCAACATACATGTTAGCTTATGTGGCAATTGACCTCAAAACTTAATTTCAATCAAGATGTGCGGACACTATTCATTTTAGGTTTTTCTTGTTTTAATTTGATATTATTTTCTTGTAAAAACCACAAATGAACAAAAAACAATTTCTGCAAAACATTTAAGAAAATAATATATAATTGATTGCAATGCTACAGGCATGTTACAGTCCCATTGAGACTGCAGTAGGGCAACCAAAACAATTCACCAAGAGAGGGTCTATGTCCCAAATGGTATCCTATTCCCTATATAGTGCACTACTTTTCAAAAGTAGTGCACTATATTGGGAAAAGGGTGACATTTGGGATGCATCCCAAGAGCCCTCCGGTTCAACATTATTAACAACAACATTATGGGGGACAGAGACAGTGGGATGAACAAAACTTTACACCTGTAAAAAGACTGACAAAGGAAAGACAAATGACAGGAGGAGGAAAATATTCTGTCAAATGAGGGAATTCAAAGAAACGACAACGTTTTAAGACCTGTAGTGGCTGGTAGTGAGAAAGGGGAGTCAAGTAAAACTGAAGAGACTATGTATTCGTCCCAAATGGCACCCTATTCCCTATATAGTGTACTACTTTTGACCAGGGACCTGGTCAAAAGTAGTGTACTATATGGGGAATAGGGTATCATTTGGGATGCAGCTAATGAGAGATACAGTACGGTTTTCATGGCTGTGAGCGTATTGAACGGAGAGGTGAGGATGGAGGAAAAAGAAGGAGAGGGATGGAGGAGGGGGGGAGACGATGCATTTGAGGATGAGAGCTGAAACGGGGGGGGGGGGGGATTTTCTAGAAAAGGGTTGGCACTCGTTTGTCCTCCTAAATGCATATCACCACCATCCCCTCTTCTGTGCTTCAGAGTCCCAACGGCTCGGTTTTCCAAGGAGTCCAAGGATGTGTTGGAAAGCTAGGTATAGAGTCCAGACCTAGTGGGACACTCTAGTCAAGTCTGAGTCTTCTCCAGTCCCCTTCCCTCTCAACCCCCTCCCAAATCTAAACCCTGATTCACTCTAGTTCATCTCCACAGCTTTGTGAGACCATACAAACACCCACATTCAACCCATAGGGTTCCCATTCTCAGCCCTGTAGCGTGAACCCCTGGTGAACAACACTAACAAGTGTCTCTGTGCTGTTCATATCACTCCTAACAAACACACGATGCTGCAACAGCACATTCTACCCTCTCCTTCCTCCATCCCCCCCCTCTCTCCCTCTCCATGTCTTCCTTCCTAAGTGAGGAGTGTGAACGTCCTCTTTTCACCTTTTCACCCTTTTTTGCCCATCCTCCTTTTTCTGGAGCGCTTGTTCTCCGTTTCGAGGGAGGGGTGTTTGCTGCTCCCGTGCTCCCCCTCTCTCCCCCCCTGCCTTGCTGGCTGGTGTGGGGTCTCTACGTGCCCCTTGCGTAGGGGTACGGTGTTGGGGGTACGAACGAGGAGGAGGGGGGGGGGGGTTGGTTTTTTACGATATCCTCTGGATGAGTTTCTCCTCTGTCATACAGAACAGGACGCAGTGAGAGAGGTCTGAGATGAAGCCCTCGCAGCCCCGCCGCGACACACCTTTACAGCCCCGCAGGTCTAGCAGCGCCAGGCCAGACGCCCTCTTCAGGTACGCCAGACAGCCATCCGTCAGCTTGTTACAGCCTGGGGGAGGAGGAGAGGGGAGGGCTTAGAGAGAGGTAAAGGTCTACAACCTGTATGAGGGAAATGTGTGTGTGTGTGTACCTTCCAAGGTTCATCTCTATGTATTTCACAGAGTGTGTGTATGCGCGCGCCTACCTGCGAGGTTGATCTCGGTGAGTGTGTTGCGTGTGTGTGTGCCGGCGGCGGTGAGCAGGCAGACGGACTGGTCAGTGAGGTCTCTGCAGTGGGCCAGGTCCAGCCTCTCTAGCAGGGGCATGTGTCGGAGGATCAGCCTCAGGGTGGAGTCGCTGATGTCCAGGCCGGCTAGACGCAGCACCACACAGCCACGCAGCCGAGACGAACCTGCAGGGGAGAGAGGAGGGGGGTGATACGCACAGTTGACACACAACCATAACAATACTACTGAACCCAACCACGATCTTATCATGAGGCCTGACAACTACCGTATTTCCGCACTATAGGCGCACGGATTAAGCGAGCAGCAATGATGATGGTACATAAAGCCGCAGGACTAAGCGCAGAAGTTTAATTACTAGTAAGGGTTCACGAGGGATGTCGGAAAGAGTGGCTGCTTGGGGCTACGTGCACAGCTTCATTCTTCTTTTACAGCAGATGATGCTTGTAATTAAAGCGCATACATCCAGTTTCGTTGTTTCATATGAGGGTTGTGCATGAAACGTTCGTTGCACAGCAGTCGGACTGGTCAGTGTGGTCTGCTCGTGGCGGTCTCTCTACCACGGTCACTTTACGTTGAGGACGCTCAGGTCGACGTCTTCGGCTCCAGCTTGTACTGCGGAGCCGCCCACAAGTGAGCAGCCGAGAGTCCGATGATCCAAGAGTTAAGGAGTTGGGGAGCGGAGCCTGTAAATCAAGATAGGAGGTCTTAGGCCGTACTGTAAAACAATACTATTAGCCCAACCGCACATATAAGCGCAGGGCGAAATAATTCCCCAAAAAGCACTTACCAAAATACGTACACACAACACAGCCACCAGTGCTGCTGCAGTAACTCCTTACAACCCCTAAAACCTTAGTTAGTCAGTTAGTATTGACTAGTGACCTGGTGGTGTGACCAGGTCCCTGATCTGGGTGTCTTTGACCCCCTCTGCCCAGCGCAGGTCCAGGGTACGGAGGCACGGCAGGCTGGGGGTGGACAGGGCTGACATGGACGACCAGGAGCAACCTGCTATCATCAACTCCTTCAGACCTGAGAGAGGAGAGGAGGAGGGGAGAATAGAGAGAGAGAGAAGGGATGGAGGAGGTTTTAATTCATCTTGCAATGGTAAGATGTGTGTGTGTACCGGACAGGCGGTGGGTTGAGTTGTGTGTTGTGTGTGTAAAGGTAGGCCGTTGCGGTGGATGTTGTTGTGTGTGTGTGTGCAGTAGCTATATGCGTGTGTCCTACCTGGCAGGCGGTGTATGAGCAGGGTGATCTGTTTCTTGGACACGGGGGTCCAGGAGAGGTCCAGGGAGGTGGGCTGGCGTTTGATGATGCCCTGCAGGGCCTGGGAGGAGAGGGAGGGACACCGCGATACATCCACACCACTCCACAGACGCTTGTCACAACTCCTACAGAGGGGAGAGGAGAGAGATGGAGGGAGGGAGGGGGAAGCAAGCAGGGGGTAAAGAAATTAGGATCTGGACACAGACTAAGCCTTGTCCTGTTAGATAAAGGATGTTTCCTGTTTCAACAAAGCTTGAGTATTTTTCATCCATTAAAATTACATCACTGTCTCATCCTCTGGTCTAAAAACCATGCTTTATGGAGAAGCTCCATAGAAAGTGCCCTTTAGTCCACAGATTAAGGAGACAGTCATGCAATTTTAATGGACGAAACATACTAAAGCTGCGTTGAACCAGAAACAGGAAACCAACTCCTTTATCTATAATAACAATAAGTAGAGCTGGTAATTGCCAGGGACCTCATGATATAATATTATCACGATACTTAGGTGCCGATACGATATGTATTGTGATTCTATATGTAACGCGATTCGATACTGTGATTTTAGTTATGGCGCAGGTACAGCCAACTAGCGCAAAAATAACATTGCAATATTGTTAATAAGATATAGCGGTAAAAATAATATCTCGATATGCAATTGTATTGATTTCCCCCCCCCAATCACTAACAACAAGCCATGCTAATGGCTGTGAATGTGAATCTAATAACAGACGGAGGGACAGTGACTCACCATTTGTACCAGGCCTTACAGACAGTCATACAGCTAGCCAGCTCGGCTCTGCTCAGGTAACGGAACACCGCCACCCACACCTCCTTCTCCCCTCCCTTCTCGTTTCCTACATCCTTGAAGGAGGGCAGCGACAGGAGCGAGGAAGGAGAGTGGGAGGAGTGGGGAGGAGGGGTGGGGGAGGCGGAGGAGTCAGAGGAGGACAGAGAGGCAGTGTCCCTCTCTCTCTCCCTGTCTGCTGTGTCGCCGTGGGGATTGTTGATACGGTGACGAGGCGGCCGGCCGACTGGATTCTTGGCGGGCTGGGCCAGGCCGTTGCCGGCGGCGCCCGTGCCATTTTTGTGCCGCGTCTTCCCAAGGTTTTTACGCTGGATGTAACCTGGACCGCCGCCGTGGGTTCTGGGAGACATGGCGGCCTCCAGCTTGGGCACGATGGAGCCCGGGTGGCGTTTCGCCCTGGGGGGGCGCTGTAGGGTCACTGTCAGGTACGAGCCGTTTAGGAGGTCGTCGTTAAGGTCAGACACCAAGAGGACGGGAGGCTCTGGTTCGGAGTCTTCTTCCTCATCCTCGTCTTCATCGTCCACGTCGTCCATCTCCTCATCCTCCCCCTCCAGGTCCCGGGCCGAGCTGTCTTCCTCTTCTTCATCATCGTCTTCCTCGTCCTCCGTTCTCCTCCGCCTACGGCGTTGCCGGTGGCGATGATGCTGCTGATCTTCCTCGCTGTCGTCATCTTCATCATCGTCATCATCATCATCATCATCATCATCGTCCTCCTCTGACTCGTCCCTGCGTCTCTGCATCCTGGTGCCGCCCCGGAGGCGCACTCTTCCGCCCCTCTCCCTGCGCCCCCCCTCTCTGTCACCTCGCCCCACCCCCAGCCCCCCTCTGCCGCGCCTCATCTTCAGGGAGGAGTGAGGGGCCAGCCCGCTCCCGCGGCCCGCCCCTCTGTGGGAGGAGCCTCTCCAAATGCCCCGCCTCCCAGTCCCGTAGCCTCTCCGAGAGGCGGAGCCACTGCCGCGGGGGTGTGGCCCGGACATCTTCCGTCCCGCGCCTCCTCCTCCGCCCCTGGAGCCATCATCATCATCATCATCATCATCATCATCATCATCGTCGCTGCCCGAGTCGTCGTCGTCGTCTCGGCTGTGACCGCGGCGACGGTAGATCTTGGCGATGCGGCCGTCGAGAAACGAAGAAGACTTGCGTTTCTGGAAGGAGGGAGGAAAGAAGAGAGAGGAGAAAATGAAAGAGGGAGGAGGAAAGGAGACAAGGAGGGAGGAAAGGAGATATGGAGCAAAGTATAATTTAGGGAAAGGATGAAAAACTGTCTTCGGTTTAATTTAATCAATTTTTATTGACTGGCATACTTACCGCGTGTAACATTTTATTCTTGTCCCCTTTCACCTGAAATCAAAAAAAGGGAAACGTCAATAGAACGGAAATGAGCTGTTCATTGAGTCCTGTAACATCTCCTTTGACATAAGGCCTGCTGCACTGTGAAGACAGACAAGCACATTCACATCACAAGCCGCCGTTTCTCTCACTCAACCTCCGCATGCATTGGGCTTTCGTTCGGGCTACGAAGACCTTCTGCTCCACAAATACTGTCTCACAAATACATATCGGCTAGACCTGGGTTCAAATAGTTGAAAACCCCTTTAAATACTTTGAACGTTTTCTTGAGTCTGCCTGGAGTGCCAGATGTACGGGATTTGCAGTTTTGGGACTTTTCTATTGGGCCATTAAGCCAGGCACGCTCTAACAGTCACAGATCAAGTATTTTAAATGATTTAAAACTCAGGTCTGATATCGACCCTAAAGCAAAAGGTTTTGCATTCGCCCAGTATTTGTGGAGCCCAAAGCCCCACGTCTCCCCCAGCTCCTCCCCTCATCAGTCAGAGCAGCGAGAGGCGCGTGATGATGATGTAACGGGCGGGGGAAGGACGGCGGCGGGGGATGGCGGGTAGGTAGGCGGAGCGGCGACAGGCCTCTCACCCTCTTCCTGCGCCCGCTCGCCCATTTCCCCGCCCGCTTGAGGCCGCGCTGCTGTAGTAGTAGCAGGCCCTGGCCAGGGGAGGACCAGGAGGAGGAGAGGGGGGTGGGAACCAGCCCTGTGTGTAGCAGTACCGCCCTGCCCCAGCCCTCGTCCCCCAACCCTAGAGCAGACCCTGGCTCCATGGAGACCCCTAGAGGCCCCTGGGAGGAGGAGAGGGCGGTGGCGGTGAGGGGGCTCACGCCAGCACCGAGGCCAACGGACGCCCCGCTGTCGTCATCATCGGTGCCCGAAGACTGACACACAGCACAGGGAGAGAGTCACGGCCGTTAGCTAGCCGGGACACTGTGTTTGTGTGTGTGTGTGTGTGTGTGTGTGTGTGTGTGTGTGTGTGTGTGTGTGTGTGTGTGTGTGTGTGTGTAGATAGAGGAGGGTCTACCTCTGTGTCGGTGATTCCCAGAACACATTTGGGACACTCCCAGCAGCTGGGCAGATCTGTATTCACCACACCATCCCCTGTTACCTGGAGAGAGAGAGGAGAGAGAGAGAGAGAGAGAGATGGAAGGAGAGAGATGGAAGGAGAGAGAGAGAGATGGAAGGAGAGAGAGAGAGAGAGAGGAGAGAGGAAGGAGAGAGAGATGGAAGGAGAGGAGGAGAGAGATGGAAGGAGAGAGAGATGGAAGGAGAGAGAGAGAGAGATGGAAGGAGAGAGAGGAGAGAGAGAGAGAGAGAGAGAGAGATGGAAGGAGAGAGAGATGAAGGGAGAAAAGGATGGTTAGAGAAGTATAGAGCATTTTGTTTGAGAACAAAAAGGAGAGAGGTAGACAGAGAGTAACCTCCATCTGTACTAATGTCATCAGACTAAAAAAGACAAGTCATTTTATGTGTGGTCATGTGTGTTTTAATGCTGATTTGTTTGTGAGAGCTCTGGTGAGTAAGATTTCAACATTAATTTATTACATATAGCAAATTAACCTGAAGGTAGGGTATAGTTTGAGGAGTGTGACGTGGTTACCTTGAGGCAGGCGGGGTGGGCTATCTGGGCACAGTTGGAACACTCCATGAGGGTGAGGGCGAAGACAGGCCCCTCTCCTCCCTCCTGGTTCCCCTCTCCACAGATCTCACACACCACTGACAGGGGCAGACCCGGCTGGGGGAGAGAGAGAGAGAGAGGAGTTAATACACTCACAGACTAGTATATTCTGTCAGAATGACTCAAAACACACACAGTATACTAGCTGGAAAAAATAGATAAAGAGTAAGGACACACAGAGCTAGCAGAGAGGGAGACAGTGATAATGCTTCTACTGTACGGATGAAACATCGAACCCCCCCCCCCCCTTCTCTCTCTCTCACCCCCCCCACACACCTTCTCTCTCTCACCCCCCCCCCCCCCCCCACCCCACACACACCTTCTCTCTCTCTCACCCCCCCCCCCCCCACACACACCCTCTCTCTCTCTCTCTCACCCCCCCCCCCACACACACCCTCTCTCTCACACACACACCCCCTCTGTCTCACCGCCAGACACTGTCGGAGCACGCAGGTCTGTTTGAGTTTCCCCGGCCCTCCGAACTTCTTCATGTCCCTGCAGAAGTTACAGTCCCCGCACTCCGTCCTGACGCACGCCTCGCAGCGCTTACACCGGACACGCCGCCGCCGCAGCACGGACATGGAGGAGGCGGGCTTCTGGGGTCGCGGGGTCACCACCGTGGCGGACAGCTTGGGACGAGCCACCGGGGGAGGAGGGGGAGGGGGCTGGTACCACGACGGCTGGAGGGGAAGAATTATTGGGATAAAGGTGAATTCAATGTTTTAAAAAAATCTAACATTGGGGAGGATGAAGGCAAAGAAGACTAAGCTTTTCAGTCCAGAACTAGGCTTAATCTCTGTCTGGGAAAGCATCCCTCTGTGGATTAAACTACCCTTTGATTTAGGAGTCAGAAAAGTACATGGATTTAAAGTGTTTGAGGTGTGTAGCAGTCTATGAATGTGGCATGATTTGCACTCATCTTATGACAATGTACAGTATTGTGTGTGTTAACCCTTTACACTCGTGGGAATTGGCCTATATGGACAGGGCCAAATTGAAATATTTCTTACAGAAGAACTATTAAATGCATAAGCATGGTAGCCACAGGAAATTATGGGAAAATTATTAAACCAAACTTAAGGACTCGCCGCATTTGTAGATTATGAAATCTGAAAATCTGGATACATTCAGTAAATCAGTAACATTATAAAAATATTCATTTCAATACACTTTTATGTGAAGAGTCTTTAACTATAAGGTGCGTTTTTGAGCTCTCCTAGCTGTGCCGTTGTGGAACTAGAGCAAGCACACTAGTAGTTGTTTGGTTTGGAACACAACCCTGCATCCCCGCCAACACACAATTACTATTGTTGTTTACGCAATCTAAAAACAGCTCATTATAAATCGCAATCTGGGTCAGGTGGGCATCATTTGAAAGCTTGTTCTATTGCCAACATGACTACCTAAGTTATAAAATACAATCTTACAGTGTTAGGCTTTCACAAGTTGCGCATAGAATGGAGTCATGTGTGCATTCTGGTGCGTGTTCCGCAGAAAATCTTCTTCACAATAAACAAACATAGGCTCATTCTGTTCAGAACAGGGTATGTCATCTTGTAACTGTACATCAAACATCGTGATCATAAACGTTGACACTGTATAGACATTCGTTTTATGATATGGAAGTGTGAAGTGCACATTTGGACTCACAGTGTTTGGCTTGCTTGTATGACATAAAATCGGTATTTATTTGTCATCCACAACGTTCCATCTTTCAAAATACATAGAGTCCTCTTAATCTAAAGCATTTCCCTCTCAGTCAACAAAACATTTACCCAATTAGCAGGAGGGATGGGGGCAATTTCTTATCGCGCGGTGCTCAACTTTATAACGGCTGTCAGTTAAAACCCATACAGAGCTGTGAAGCGGAGAACCTGAGCTCTGACGTCAGGTATAGCATGTTACTGTACAGCCACTGCGTCCCAATTAAGGCGCTTATCAGTGCCCAAATCGGCCCATTTTTACCCGTACATGGGTAGGAGTGTAAAGGGCTACTATGAGCATGTGTGCAGACTGAATGTGGTGTGTCCTTCTCACCCTCTTGGGCCACTTGACGATGGGCTTTCCAGTGTAGGACAGTTTGGGGATGTCATTAGCATGCTCCTTCAGCAGGGCCTTAGAGAGGACAAGAGAAGGTTAGACAAGTACATGAAAAAAACACATGCACACACACTAAACCTTTATAATATATGCCATTTAGCAAACGCTTTTATCCCAAGTGACTTACAGTCAGTCATGCATTTTGATATTATGATATTTAATTATGTCAGACACACCCAGCCCTACCCACCCAGCCCTTACCACCCATCCCTTACCACCCAGCCCTACCCACCCAGCCCTTACCACCCATCCCTACCCACCCATCCCTTACCACCCATCCCTACCCACCCATCCCTTACCACCCATCCCTACCCACCCATCCCTTACCACCCATCCCTACCCATCCATCCCTACCCACCCATCCCTTACCACCCATCCCTACCCACCCATCTCTACCCACCCATCCCTACCCACCCATCCCTACCCACCCATCCCTACCCACCCATCCCTTACCACCCATCCCTACCCACCCATCCCTACCCACCCATCCCTTACCACCCATTCCTACCCACCACATCCCTACCCACCCATACTACCCACCCATCCTTACCACCCATCCCTACCACCCACCATCCCACCACCCATCCCTACCCACCCAGCCCTACCCACCCAGCCCTACCCACCCATCCCTACCCACCCAGCCCTTACCCTGATGTCGTGCAGCAGTGCGGGAGCATTGTGTATGCCTGCCGGGACACAGTTCTTCTGTGAGGGCAGAGACTCCAGCTTCCCCAGCAGGTTCCACAGCCCCTCCAACTCGAAGGGCGTCAGGTGAACCTTCACCCCAGGCTTAGAGCCCCGGGTTGGGGGAGCCTCCTCTTCATCCTCCTCTGCCTCCTCCTGGGTGTGGCCGTTGACTGACTCACAGGTGGAGGGGTCTCTCATCAGACCTGGAGGGAGGGAGGGATGGACAGAGAGATTGAGAGGTGGAGTTGGAAAGAGAAGACACTTCACAAAGCAATTCAAGGTATGTAGTCTAACGTAATACAGAGAACGCACGTCTCAAGTTATAGATCTTGTGTTGTCATTCAAACGTAATCACCTAATATAGAGTAATGATGATGGTTAGGAAAGGGTTGAGCTGCTTGCTGTAAAGCTGGAATAGTAGAGGTGGAGTGGAGAGACAGACAGAGAGGGAGGGAGGGGGTGAGAGAGAGAGAACAGAGGAACAAAGATGGAGAGAGAGAGAGAGACAGAGAGAGAGGGGGGGGGGATGGGGTGGGGGTAGTGTTGGCACTGACCGATGCCCAGGGAGTGTTTCTGGAACTCAGGTGTGAGGTAGGAGGTGTTGGTCAGACTGAAGAGGTATCTCTCCAACACGTACCAACACATCTCATAGTAGAACGGGTAGCGGAACTTAGCTGGTACCTGCAGAGACACCAAGTTCAAGCTTGTATTTATTTGCCATTTTAAATTCAAGTACATACATTGGAACTTCTCTTCTACGAGTGTTCAGGAATACAAAATATGAGTACATTTAGGAGCGAGAGAAGAGTGTGTGTGTTGGACCTACCCGTGTCCTGTCCTCGATGCTGTAGATGTTGAGTTGCATGGGGATGTTGAAGCTGTGGAGGAAGTTTCCCCCAAACACCAGGGTGTCCACTGGAGTGTAGACGGCATGGATCCAACCTGACAAGACACAAATAAAGACAAACATTAGAAACAGGTAGGAGGAAAAGGAACACATGACACTAGGTTGAAGTTCAACTCACTTTTAAATGGTTAAATATCTGTATGTGTGTGTGTGTCAAAGTACGAGTAGGATTTTTAAAGTGTGTGTGTACGTCGTGTGTGTGTTTGTCTCCGTCTGTCTGCGAGTCGTGTGTGTGTGTGTCTCTGTCTGTCTGCGAGTCGTGTGTGTGGTGTCTCTGTTGTATGCGAGTAGTGTGTGTGTGTGTTGTTGCAGAGTAGTGTGTGTGTGTGTGTGTGTGTGTGTGTGTGTGTGTTGTCTGTCTGCGAGTCGTGTGTGTGTGTGTCTGTCTGCGAGTCGTGTGTGTGTGTGTGTGTGTGTGTGTGTGTGTCTTTGTCTGTCTGCGAGTTGTGTGTGTGTGTGTGTGTGTGTGTGTGGTTTGTCTGTGGAGTCTTGTGTGTGTGTGTGTGTGTGTGTGTGTTGTGTCTGTCTGTCTGCGAGTCGTGTGTGTGTGTGTGTGTCTTGTCTGCGAGTCGTGTGTGTGTGTGTGTGTCTGTCTGTCTGTCTGCGAGTCGTGTGTGTGTGTGTGTGTGTTGTCACTGTCTGTCTGCGAGTCGTGTGTGTGTGTGTGTGTGTGTGTTGTCTCTGTCTGTCTGCGAGTCGTGTGTGTGTGTGTGTGTGTGTGTGTGTGTGTGTGTGTGTGTGTGTGTGTGTGTGTACCTGAGGGGATCATGAAGGTGTAGCCCTGCTTCAGCTCTATCCTCTGACAGTCCTGGGCCTTGTCTCCCAGGAAGATGTCTCCCTGTTTCCCTGACAACACCCAGTCCTCATACAGCTCCAGGTTCTGAGGCGTGGGCGGGATCAGCCAGAACACCTGACAGGAAGTAAGGGGTCAGAGGTGGGAAGTGAGAGGAAACCAGAGTCACTCTTATTCAAGTCCCAAGTCTCAACTCATAGGGTCTGAGTCTTAAGTCGAGTCCCAAATAGAACGGGTCGAGACTCGAGTCGAGTCCATGTCGTGCCTTGTAAAATCAAGCAGTGCGTTCTCACCTTGCCTCCCCGCAGTATGTGGTACCAGACTGAGGAACCTCCGAAGTCTATGTGGAAGTCTGTATAGCAGCCCTGAACACTCATTAGACAGTACCTGGAACAGAGGAGGAGGAAAAGAGGGGGGAAGGAGAATACAGTTGATGAGGAAGAGGGTCTCACTTCTGCATGTCTGTGATGGAGTTGGTGGAGCCTACAGACCCTGGTCAAAAGTGGTGCACTATATAGGGAATAGGGTGCCATTTGGGACGCAAGTGAGCCTTACTTCTGCACTTTGGGGTACTGCATGTCTGTGATGGAATTGGTGGAGTCTCTCTGTCTCTCCTTTAGGTGCCGAGGCCACATGTTGTCCACCCAGTCTATGATGTCCACCTGATAGAATACACAGGAGGAGGTAAGTACAGACAGGAGGATGTGTGGGTGTGTCTGCGTGCCAAAATGTGTGTGCGCCGATATGTATGTGTGTGTGTGTGTATGTGTGCCGATTTATGTTTGTGTGTCTGTGTGCTAATATGTGTGTGTCTGTGTCGATGTGTGTGCCGATTTGTGTGTGTGTGTGTGTGCACATCTCAGACTGACCGATGCGGGCCTCTGGACCAGGTTCTCCAGCTTGGTGTGGCTAAACTCCAGGCTGATGACGTTGTAGAGTTTGTCCCTCTGGGAGGGGGGCGTCTCGTAGTAACGTCTCCACTGGGCCATAGACATCTCTATACCCTTCTGAGTGCTTACATCCATCACGTCGATCATACGCCTGCTGCCTGGAGGAGCCAAGGAGGGGGAGAGAGAGACAGAGGAGTGATACGGGGAGGGAGGGACAAAGGAGAGAGAGAGAGGAGGAAGGGGGAGGGAGAGAGAAAGGGTGAGAGGAGGAAAAGAGGAAAAGAGAAGGCAAGAGAGTATTTAGTATTTTATTGGGATCCCCATTAAGTGTTGCTGAAGCAGCAGCTACTCTTCCAGAACATAAAACATGACATAACATCAATAGACAAGAATAGTTCAAGGACTGAGCTACACCAATTTCAAATGAGAACAATAGAACCAAAAAAGGTCCTACTGACAGTTACCCACACATCAGTGCATGTACAGTGCATTCGGAAAGTATTCAGACCCCTTGACTTTTTCCACATTTTGTTACATTACAGCCTTATTCTAAAATGGATACAATTATTTGTTTTCCTCAATCTACACACAATACCCCATAATGACAAAGCAAAAACAGGTTTTTAGAAATGTTCGCTAATTTATTCAAAATAAAAAACAGAAATACCTTACTTACATAAGAATTCAGACCCTTTGCTAGGAGACTCGAAAATTGAGCTCAGGTGCATCCTGTTTCCATTGATCATCCTTGAGATGTTTCTACAACTTGATTGTAGAAACGCCTGGCCAAACTGAGCAATCGGGGGAGAAGGGCCTTGGTCAGGGAGGTGACCAAGAACCCGATGGCCACTCTGACAGAGCTCCAGAGTTCCTCTGTGGAGATGGGAGAACCTTCCAGAAGGACAACCATCTCTGCAGCACTCCACCAATTAGGTCTTTATGGTAGAGTGGCCAGACGGAAGCCACTCCTCAGTAAAAGGCACATGACAACGACCCTAAGCACACAGCCAAGACAACGCAGGAGCGGCTTCCTATTATGTGAGGCAGTGGGAATGTTCATCAACTAGACAGGATGAGAAAATGAACGAGCAAGTAAGAGAACTTGATGAAAACTGCTCCAATAGTCAGATTCAGCAGGGGTGTAAGGTTCACCTCAACCCAAGGCCTAAGCACACAGCTAAAAACGAGGACGCTTTCTATTGTGCCAACAAGGCCAGACTTGAAAACTGATCGAAATTCTGGAGGAACCTGAAAATATCTGTGCAGTGACACTCCCCATCCAACCTGACAGAGTTGAGAGGATCTGCAGAAAAAATATGGGAGAAACTTCCCAAATACAGGTGTGCCAAGCGTGTAGCGTCATACCCAAGGGTCTGAATACATATGTAAAATGTGATATTTCCATTTTTTATTTTCAATAAATGTGCAAAAATGTCTAAAAACCTGTTTTTGCTTTGTCATTATGGGTTATTGTGTGTAGATTGATGACGGGAAAAAACGATTTAATCCATTTTAGAATAAAGCTGCAACGTAACAAAATATGGAAAAAGTCAAGGGGCCTGAATACTTTCTGAATGCACTGTATGGCTATCAGTTAATTAGGTCAGATAGGGAGAGGCATTGTTCTGTGAGGTGTTGTTTTGAAGCTAATTTTACTGTTTGCTTGAGTCATTTGAGATGGATGGGTGTTCCATGTGATTATGGCTCTACAGAATATTGTGCATTGCCTTAAATTTGTTCTCGATTTGGGGACTGTGAAGAGACCCCTGGTGGCATTTCTGGTGGATAAGTATGTCTGTCAGAGTTATATGTAAGTTGATTATACAGACAATTTGGAATTTTCAACAATATTTCTCACAAAAACAAGAATTGATGCAGTCAATCTCTCCTGTACTTTGAGCCAAGAGAGACTGTCATGCATACTGTTGACATTAGCCCTCTGTATACATTGAAGAGCACGACATGCTTCTCTGTTCTGGGCCAGCTGCAGCTTTTCAAATTCCTTCTTTGCAGCACTTGACCATATCACCGGGCAATACTGTCAAGATTAGATCAAACTAGAGCCTGCAGGACTTGTTTGGTTGACTGTGGTGTTAAAAATGTGAGGGAGGGAGAGAAATAAAGGAGATGTAAATGAGGGAGTGAGGGAAAGAAAAAAGAAAGACAAAATAAATGGAGGAAGAGAGTTGGCATAGAAGTAGAGTGTGGGTGAAGAAGGAGAGAAATTGGAAAAGGGAAGTGGCATGTTTGGATAGAAGCACTGGAGGAGGAGGGAATCTTACCGACAAATATCTTCACGTCGTTCACACTGAAGTCTGGATCTGGCATCCTTTAGAGAGCACAACAAACCAAAACAAACCAGGGTTACATATTACTCATGGAGATTTATAAACTCTAATACAATTCTAGCCGTTCAAATAAATAGAATAAAGTGAGTGGGTTTCCAACAGAGTTTGTTGAGGGGAAAAGGAGGACGTACTTGATGCCCAGTCCGTCTGGCTTCTCAAAGATGATCGGGTCCCTCAACCCACCTCTTTGGATGTACTCAAACGTGAGGTCTGGAAAAACACACACACGATAAGCCATAAACTAAACAGGAATCCTCAAAGCTACTCAAGTTTGTAACCAACGCCCAAATGAGACCCTATTCCCTTCTCTATAGTGCACTACTACTGTCAAAATAAGTGCATTATAGAGGGAATAGGGTGCCATTTCAGACACAGTCAATGTCTCCAATATTTAGCTACAGCAAAACCCTCCACCGTAGAATGACCATTACGATGACCCCCAACACTGACCTTTCCCCTCCATGCGTTTGACCCTGTCTGAGGTGAACCTCTCGCTCCTCAACTTCTCCTCCAGGTCAAAGGTCCTCTTCCCTTCGATCTCGTCGTCCGAGATACCATCGTCATGGTAGCGCCGCCGTGTGCCCGACCGCTGGAGAGAGGGGGAAGAGGGAAAGAGAGGAGGAAGAGGGAAAGAGAGGAGGAAGAGGGAAAGAGAGGAGGAAGAGGGAAAGAGAAGAGGAAGAGGGAAAGAGAGGAGGAAGAGGGAAAGAGAGGAGGAAGAGGGAAAGAGGAGAGGTAAGAGGAGAGGGGGGGAGCAAAAGAGAAGAAGAGGGAAGAGAAGAGGAATGTGAGGAGGAAGAGAAAAAAGGAATAGAGAGCAGAGATTTACCTCAATGTGTTCAGCAGCTGTCTACCCTTTAAATCCCATCGAGCACTATTCTAGGTTCTTTAAGGTATTTCTGTAACATGTAATGCTACTTAAAGACAGCAGCGTTTGGCTGTGTTAACAATGCTCCCACACACACACAGTACTTGACCTGCTCCTCCCTCCTACAAAAAGAAACTTGCTCTTCTGCCAAGAGATTGAAGTATCTCAGTCTCAATACAACAACACACACTGGGGCAAGGAGGAATGAACATACCCACACAAACCGATATCAACACAGAACACACACAGTACATTGATGTTTAGGCCAGGGTATCAATTATCTCTAATGTAGCCTATCATGTTAATTTCCCCTCACACTTCTCTCAGGGATGGAGGGAGTGGGGGATAAAGAAAAGAGGGAGAGAAAGAGAGAAGGTGGGGGGTTACTTGGAGCCTTTCTTTACCCAGTGCTTCCAGGGCACAACAGATGAAAGAAGGATAACTCCCCTCCCCTCCATCCTAGCCCCCATAAACCTGACTCGCGGCCCATTCTCCTTCCCCCTGCTCAATATTGTCCCCCATCCCCCCTACTTATTCATCACCCCTATCTGTCAACTGGAGGCTTGATGTTTCATTGATGGTGGTGCTCCTTCATCTTTCCACTCCTGGACAACAATAGCCAGGCTAACTGGTTTTTGTTCCAATCTAACCATCAAGAAAACGGAAAGTCCAATGAGATTTCAACCTAGGTTCATAAGATATAAGGTAGAAGTAAGTCCATACATTTTAGGTTTGTAAAGTGGCTGGCTGGCAATGCAAGTTCAAGACGACACAAATCAAATTTGGCTAAATATGAGCAAAAAATAAGCTAGTTATCCAATGTCCACCCCTACTCATCATCCTCAAGAACACAAGCTACGTTATGGTGAAGCCCCTTTGTGTCCATCCATTCTCACTCCCTTTCATTGGGTTGACAAGTTTCCAATGATTTAACTCACCATGCTTTTTAAAAGGGACCTTAAAAAAAAAAAAAGAAACCTAGGTAGGTCAAAAAACAAAAAAATAAACGCAATCTGGCTGACATGTAGGGCCCTAGAAAAGTGTTTATTTTTTGCCTGATTCCGTTTTGTTTTCCCCCAAATTCCAATTTCTCTGTTTGTTTTTCCAGGTTTCCGTTTGTCAAAGTTTTTTCAGGTTTTCCCTCTCAAAATCACACATTTTTTTATAGAAAAACAACAAAGTTGGATGTTCTAAGTCCACAACAATGGATATACACCACATCAGGAGACCACTTTTGAGGTCTTGGAAAAATCTAAGAAATGTTTAATTATTGGTGTAGTTACCCTTTAAAGCAAGTGTGCACACCCTTTGTTTGGTTAGCAGTGTTTCTGTAGCGCTCATGTGATTGCAGAGTTTGCCAAACAAATGGTCACTGGGTTGATCCAAATAATCATGATATCATTCTGCCAGGTAGGCAGAGGCTAATTTTTACTTAACATTTAACTGAGAAGGTTTTTGGGAAAGCCTTTCCATCAACCAGCAGACGGTTATCATTAGCATTATCGCTAACGGCTACACAAAGTGGACCAGGGAGTGGACCGGGGTTGCCATGGCAATGCACCAGCTGACCCAGGGAGGGGGTGGGGGATCCAGCAGCCCAGTGACAACAATAAGAGATGTCTGAGAACGCAATCTCTCTCCGCCCGTCTCATACACACACACCTCTAAACATCCTCAGCTTGAACACACACACAGCAGAGTTCTTTAAATATTATCCACCTGAACACACACTAGCCTCCTTGCAAACACCCCACAATGTGAAACATTTACATTTTAGTCATTTAGCAGACGCTCTTATCCAGAGCGAATTAGTTAGTGAATGCATACATTTTCATACTGAAACAACCTCACTGTACTGTCCGCCAATCAGCCACAAGCCAATGCCACTCTACAGCACGACATCAAAGAGCGCTAGTATCCACCGCTGTAGCAGTGAAATCAGTAACGCGAGAAGCAGCACGAGGCACCAGCCGATAGTACCATCCCTACCTCCAATATCTCACTGCCCATCTGCCAGCTAGCTAGCCAGCCAGCCACCGCAATCCTCCCTGGCTCCGGGCAACCCTTCAAAAAGACAACCCTGTCCCAGTAAATTCAAAATCCATTATCCATCTTTAAGCCAGGTTTGACGATAGATCTTTGTTCCATTCAGGTGGTTTGGTATAGGAGACGGACACAACTGCGTTGCAGTGACTTGCAGTGTAATGCAGTGCGCCAGTCCGTCTGTCGGTCTGCGCTCCCCTGGGCCGGTGCAAAAGTGCAGTGGACAGTGGCTGCGCGTACCAAATGGCTCCCTATATAGTGCACTATGTAGGGAATAGGGTGCTATTTGAGACACAGACAGTGACACAGCACACTGTCTCTCAGCAACGCACTACGCTGCTGCAGCACCCGGTGAAACAAACAACCTTTAACGGAGACATCACACAGACCAGCTGCTGGCCACACACACCGCAGTGTCCAGCTCCATCTAGTATTACCAAGGCGGGAATTCTGCTTGCGTGACAACAGACTCTAGAGAAACAGTCTGGATTGGAGCACCATGCCAGGGACAGGGAGTGGATCCGTCTGGGAGACGCCTTGGCTGGGGAACGACGGACAGCCAGCGCCCCTGTCTAGATCACCTCCTCGGTCTCCTGGTCGCCCACTCAATCAGCTACTGAAGAAACAATAGACGACCCTGAGCTACACAATCAACCACGACGGCTGAGCAACCAGAGTAGGTAAGGGCAGACGCCAGATGCAGTATCTAACCGCATTGTGTTTATTATTAAAGATCATCACCAAGAGACAGTGGGTCTCGGAGCCAGTACCAGCAGGGTTTCAGATGCTCTCCCTCCCTCCCTCCCTCCCTGCAGCAGTCCAGTATCCTCCGTTTTTCTCCTCCATTATATTCTATTTCTCTCCTTTTCTCTTGCCCTTTCTCTCTCTCCTGCAGTGCACCTTGGGGAATCCTGTGGGATGCAGAGAGACGCTACACACCTCGCACCTTCAGTGTTGCCGTTACATCCCTCCTCCTCTTCGTCTCTTTATCCTTCTTCCTCCTCTCTTCCCACATCCCTTCATAGCCGGCGTAGTGCAGCAGCATCTCTCCTCCGTTCGCCATCCTCCACTCCCCCTCTCCAGAGAGAAAAAGAGGCCTGCGGTCTATCCAGCTCTGACATCCTTTCGCCTCTGCAGTGTCTCACTCCCTCCCTTCCCCCCCCCTCTCTCTCTCCATCCGTGTTTTCCGCATTTCTGCTCACATGGCCAGCCAGCCTCTCCAGTAACTTCTCCTCTCGCTTCACACAGAGCAGACAGCGTGCTCTCACCACAGTGTCCTCTCCACTCACACACATCCCCCCTCCAATCCCCTTCTCTCTCGCTTCTCCCGTTTCATCACTTACACTGACACTGTTGTATTGCATGCAATATGTCTTCTGGAGATGCATCGCTCAAAGTACAGGCAAAGAAAAAGAGCTCCCTCTCCTTAACAGACCAGAGACTAAGAGATGTAGTGCTGACCACTACTGCCTAAATCTCACCCTATTCATAATTGATAAGACTTTATCTCTGCATCAGAGGAGTGATGCTGCCTGGCTACTGCTCTGAGAGATACATGTTCTGCTTCTGCTCCTACAAATGTTACTATCGTTTGAAACTCAACTTTAACAATCACAACACACACATACCTCCATTGTACAGTATAAACATCATGTCCACGATCCATTGCCTAGTAACAGCCTTTTTCGTGTCACCTCACCTGTAACTATTCAGATTCTACACAGTCAGGTAGGCTGGAGACCCTGGTCACCCTACTAAACCCTGCAGTACAGGTTCAAATTCTCTCAACAGGTGTGACGCAAAGGATACTCGTCTGATACCCTGAACAAACCAGAAATGCAATTACAATCACATGCAGAAAAAAAAGGGAACTCACCTCAAACATGTCAATCAATAACCTTATCTGACATGTTGGACCCTCAATCAAAAATGTAAATGTAAAAATGTACCATGTAACAAAAACGTACAATATTGCTTTTCAAGGATTTAGCTAGCTCTTACACTAATCCCAGCCATATCCCAACCTAACCCTGTGTTCACTCCTCCAGACATGGTTGATCCGGTCCTCTTTAAACAAATGTCTTCCGCTCAGTTTGCTTTTACAATGTTTTGGAGCGACTGTGACATGATGCATACTCCTTCTGGCAGGGTTTAACCCCCCAAACTATTAACCTGTCTGCATCTTAAATGGCACCCTATTCCCTTTATAGAGCACTACTTTTGACCAGAGCTACATGTGGACTTTATAGTGCACTACTTTTGACCAAAGAGCCTATTTTCCGTACTCTCTCAAGTTACAGTCAACAGGGCCAATCTGACTACATGACGCCATCAAGCAAGGCAAGTCAGAGACATAAGCGTCTCAGCTTTTTGGTATTGGAAATAAATTAAATTGTTACTTAGGGAAAGAACACTACAGTTATTCCCATAACCTAAATTATGAGGTACAAGTCTTTGAGCCAGTCTTGGAATTGAACCGCAGACTAGTAACGTTATAACTCACTTCCTCTCTCTGACTGTCTTTATAATTCCAACATCTCAATATATTTGCATAGTTTAAGAATAAAATAAAATAAAAATTCCATACTACGAACCTTTCAATATAATTAGTAACTACCGGTAGGCCATGCCATTTCATATCGTTCATCACCATCAACGTCTAAAGTAACGTTAGCTAAGAATTGACTACAGACAAAACAGGGAGACATTGTAATAACGCTGGGTCAACTAGTTACTTACCAGTCGTTTGCTGAATCGTGGTCGACGAGTATCTTCCATTTTTTTATGACTGTCACTTGAGACAGTGGACTGTTTATTTGGTAGGCGGTTCGCCGATACACGTGGGTACCTGACTGACTGCGCTGTCAAGCTGCTGAACACCGGTTGAAGTTCGCACAACTAGATCGTGATTGGAAATGTAGCTTAACTCGTTATCTATTTACTTGACAGAGCTAAATTAGCTCATTTCTAGTAGTGTAATGTTATGTCCACTGTCACTTGCGGGTTAAAATAGGCCTTCAAATCTGACAAACTAAATCTAAAACACAGTCAACGTAGCCAAGTTAATACATTGATTTGATTAAAAACACAGTATAAATAAAGAGCGTTTACACATTGTAACGTTATTTACAGCTAGATAATCACCACTAGGACATAGCTAGTGAAATAGTAATGAGGCTAGCATCTTTGGCTATCTATCCCCCACTAAAGGGAAACATTGTTGTCGATCACCAAAACAAAACCCTACCGAGAAAATGGGATTAGCTATCTTTAGTTTGTCTTTATCGCGCCAATATTGTATTTGGGATAGTAGTGTGGTTCATTATATAACGGTTAGCGTGTTATAGCTAACGTTAGCTATAGTGTATCTTACTATTGATTCAATACTATACATACCATTTAGACACACTTGTCTGGCTAGTTTTAGGGGGCTGAGGGGGGGTTACCAGTCCTGGGTTATTTGCGGCAAGTAGTTCACACACATTTTCTTATGCTGAACAACAAACTGTTAGCTAAACTAAAACGAACACAGAACGTCCAAGTTTAAAATGCAACGGCAGACAGCGAGCAATCTATTATTTTCAAGGGAACTTTCCGCTTTGTCTTTTGGAAAACTCCAATCAACCAAAGAGTTTTCTAGAAAATCCTTAAAATCGGGTTATATTAAATGACATTAAGTTCTGTTAAAAATCGACAGAGAACACTGGTTTAAATCGCAGGTTTATATGTATAATATCCGATAAAGTCGGCGGTCAGCCATCCGCCGCCATTTTCATCTCGTCACAAATCCCCACTAGTTTTTCTCAAGACCCGCCTACAACAATAAAATCGTCCAACTACAGCAAAGCCGGCGAGGCGCTAAATGGTCGGTAATTATGTCACTCAGAAATACATTTTGTCGATAAGGATTGGACAAACATACAACAAAAAGTGAAAACGATACGTGAATGACCAATTACATTGCAAGTTATTGGACGAACCGAAATCCAATTGGCGACCATTTCGCTACTATCTTCAAAGGAGAATAATAATTGGTCAACATACAAAGGGGTCAATAAAGCAGCCAATGAACTATCACGCAATTCAGACATCGTGTTACCCAACTCAACCTTCCAAAAATTGCCAGACCTGCCATACAACTTATAAACCCATAAAAATAAAATATATTTCCGTTACACACCACCATGATTGAGCAGAACTGTTCAAGGACGGTCGACGGTGCCAGTCTGCGTAGTCTGCCTCCTGGCTTCTGCTGTGTCTTGACTCCCGGAGCTTTGCATTGCTGAGACACGTTTTCTGGGTAGCTACTTCGGTCTTGGGTTGCTACAGCAAAGCCGCCCATTCATGGCAGTTGTAATCCGGAAGCGGCTGTCTATTGGTCCCACACTTGGGTGGATGGCAGCAATTGGAGGATTTGGCCTGTCAATTAAACAATACAGACGGTGAGCGATGTCAAAGCCAATTCGTTTCGTTTTATTCCTATTTCTCAAAGCAGTTTAAAATAATTGAATAATGAAAACTTACAAATAAAAACACTTGGCAAAGGGCGATTCTTTTTTTTATTTTTTTATTTGTCAACAGAGGGGAAAAGCTACAAAAGCTGAAATCTGACCTTACATTTTGATCAGATAACATTTTCCCATATAAATGCCTACAAAATCACTACAAACGTATGCGACTGAAGACACACAAACACACACATTGGCTATTCACTTGATACTGCTTGCTTGCTTGATCACAACAAAAATACTATCCTATCTTTAATTAGAGGGGGTAGAGAGCAATGACTTATATAAATTAACCCTGGACTGATGATGCTTTGTATAGGCCATTGAGATGTTTTGAAGCCACCGGTCGGCCATATTAGAACTCCCTAGAAGGAGCAGTCCTCCATAGGAATGAATGGAATTCTACAGTATTTCAAGGAAAAAATTACATGTATTGACGTTTTTTTTTTGTAGTGGGGAAAGTAACATTAGTACTCTCCCCATTTAAAAAAATGTTTAGCTCACATAATATAATTTAAAAGTATGCATTAAAGTGTCTGTAATAGAATAAACTTGTCAAAAACAAATGTAGACGTTAATAAATGTATTTCTATAGCTTCCAAAATCTTTTTCACGATTGAGGAGGATTACCAAGATGGCTGCACGGTGGCTTCAATACAGCGCCCCCTGACAGTCATCCAGGGTTTCCACACATCATATGTAGAGAGCGCATGTGACAGTTTTATGACACAGGCATGCCCCCTGGTGGTACATGCGTCGACACACATGTATGATAAAAATGAAATGAGTACAATATTACGCAATAACTTTAACACACAATAATACAATAATACATAAAAACGTGCCATTTTGGGGTCATTTCGATTACTAGCTGTTAATAGGGCAGTGAGAAATTGTATTTTTTTCAAACAATCTTCGTTTTATCATCATATTATTTTGTTTACCAATATCTTTAGGTTACTTGACTTGATTACACAGTGTTATCGTTGACCTGTCTTGGCTTAGATTATTAAGGAACCACACTACCAAAGCTAATTGACACATATCCTTGAAGTGGGAAAAGGAGCTGTGGGGGTCAGCATGCCTGAAAAGAGGAATGAGAGAGAGTGTGTGTGCGTGAGAGAAAAAGAGAGAGAGAGAAGACGAAAGACAATGTAGGGTGGAAGGCCTTTAGCCGGACTGAAGTGTATCTCCTCTGAGTAGCGCCTTATGTATCTCTTGACAGACAGAGTGATCACTGTGGATCCACCCACCCAGGTTAGACTGGGGGTAATCTGGGACACTCCTCTTCAACTTCACCTGAGGCCAGAGTCATAACTGATTATCACGTTAAGAGGCCAATAATAAAGCCTAAGTCTACATCCCAAATGGCACCCTATTCCCTATATACTACAAAGGGAATAGGGTGTCATGTGGGACACAGACTAAGAATAACCTGGATCTAACATTTTCTAATCTGGTCCCGTATTCATAAAGCATCTCAGAGTAGGAGTGCTGATCTAGGATCCCCCCCCCCCCGTCCATGTAATCTTATTCATTGTAATCTAAAAGGTTCAACTGATCCCAGATCTGCACTGATCATTTGAAAGGCTTTATAAATACAGGCCCTGATCCAACTTGGAAATCTTTTGCACACATCTGCATCCTTCTAGCCTGAGTTGTTTGTGCTATCATGCCAACTCCTTGTCACTCATTGTCATGCCACACATGTTTGGCTTGACAGGGACAGGAATGGAGTTTGCAAGAGTACAAACAAATCTGGGACCAGGCTAACATCCTTCTGCATCAATACATGATTTAAAAGTTGAAGTTGGGAGTTTTGAACACATCTCTGTCAACAGTTTTACAACAAGTTTTACCCGGACGGTATTTCCTATTTGATAAAGCTGTAGAGGAAGGACCCGCCGATGACACAGAGAATGATACAGCAACACATGATCATCATCTGCTTCTAAAGGGCGGAAGACAGAAAGAAAGAGGCAAAGAAAGACAGAGGATGCGAGAGAGGAAAAGGACACAGAGGAGGAAGTGGAGGAGGAAGAAATATAAGGAAACAAAGAAGGGAAGGGAGAGAAGAAAGAGAACAAGAAAAAAATGAGAAAAATGAAAGGGAAATTGACCTGAGCATAGAGAAAACATAACCCAAGATAAATATTTAGACACTAAATGTGCCATTGTAGGTTCTGAAGTTTTAAGAGATTCTTTGCATCAGTGAGAATGCTGAACCCCCTGTAGCAAGACAGTATATTTACTGTGTGTCCCAAATGGCACCCTTTTCCCTGTATAGTGCAGTACTTTCAAAAGTAACGCACTATGAAGGTAATAGGGTGCCATTTGGGACGAAGCCAATGTATCCCTTCTCCTGTATGAACAAAGGTGATAGGTAATAGGTCTAGGGTCTGGAGTGGACCTATAAACAGGACGTTTCAGCCGTAGAAATAGAATCCCCTATTATGGCATCATTGACCTGAATGGGGACGGCCATTCTACTCATCCTAATTCTATGGTTTCAGCCCCACTCACCCTACGGGCCTCCTGCTGAAATTTGGCTGCTTTCTTGGTGTCGGCAACCGCCCGCTCTACGAAGCCCACCGATTGGTCCATGTTGTTCTCAATCTTGTCAATCATACTGCCCTTTGAAGGGGGTGGGCGGAGCGGAGTGTTGGGTGAAGCACACACAAACAGCGGTCAAAAGCAGTGCACTATGTAGGGAATAGGGTTCCATTTGGGATACAGCCTTAAAGGTGTGAAGGGTTACCTGGTTCTCCACCAGCATAGCAATGTCCACAAACATGTCATGAAGCTCTTTGATGCTGCTCTCCAGCCTCACAATGTCTTTGTGCCGTGCCTCGATCTCATTCAATGCCTGCTTCGATATGCCCGACTCCATGATCTACAAAACACATAGGAGAGGATATACACAACGGTTTAACACCCACACTAGGAGAGGATATACACAACGGTTTAACACCCACACTAGGAGAGGATATATACAACAGTTTAACACCCACACTAGGAGAGGATATACACAACGGTTTAACACCCACACTAGGAGAAGATATACACAACGGTTTAACACCCACACTAGGAGAGGATATACACAACGGTTTAACACCCACACTAGGAGAAGATATACACAACGGTTTAACACCCACACTAGGAGAGGATATACACAACGGTTTAACACCCACACTAGGAGAGGGTATACACAACGGTTTAACACCCATATAGGAGAGGATATACACAACGGTTTAACACCCACACTAGGAAAGGATATACACAATGGTTTAACTCCCACACTCGCAAGCATGCACATACACACACTCACAAGCCATTCTCGCTTGTACACATGCACACATACGCACACACACACACACAGAATTACCCCTGCGGAGAAGACGGCTGCGTTTCCTCCTTCCAACATCTCCTCCAGCTCCTCGTCGGTCGTTACTTTTCCCGCTGTGGAGTGGAGAGTTCACAGAAAAGGGTTAATAACATGTATGAAAGGGTTTTAATAACAGGCCCTTAATGCTGGCACAGAATATACTAATACATTCCGTCAACAGCAGATCTGGGTTTCAAATACTTAAATATTTCAAATACTTTATCTGTGTCTATTTGTGCTTGCCTGGCTTAATACACCAGAAAAGAAAAGTCCCAAAACTGCAAACCCTGCCCAACTCCAGGCAGATTCAAGCAAACGTTCAAAGTATTTGAAAGGATTTTCTAAGTATTTGAACTGGTAAAGAGCACTGTATTAGCTTGAGTCTATCTGTGATAGGTTGAAACATGCACTCCTGTCTACGACTTAATGCAACTTGGGCCTGGATTTTTTCCTGACAATTGAACCCTGGCCGCAGTTATACCAGGTATCTTGTCTCTATGACTGGTTATGACATGGTTATGGCATGGTTATGGCATGGTTATGGCATGGTTATGAAGCATCATAGGCATCAGACTCACTGATCTCCAGCTGCCGGGCGATGCGGCCTTTGCTCTTGTCTCTGAAGTCCGTCTGAGCCTCGTTGTACTTGGTCATCACCTCCACAAACTTCTTGGCCAGGATGGCATGCTGGGAAAAGGTGGAAGTGGGTACAGGGGTTGTTATGGTAATCAGTGGGGAGGGAACCCGAGTCTCCAACCCCGGTTTCCAACAGGAAAAAACGAAGGGGACATGATTGACGTGCAAACCGATAGAGTTAAGGGTTTGGTTGAGGTTAGTTTGTTTCTTAAGGGTTACCTGGGACTTCCGTATCCTCATGTCTGCTGACGACCGTTCCTCTGTGTTTGTCTCAAGTTGCTTCTCGATACCTGCCAGGGATGGAACGCGCCACCATTACCATGACTACGGCCATCGACAACAACAAATAATTACTACGGTATTGCAGTAGATGGCATTCAAAAACACGTTATCTTGACACAAAAACTAAGTTTATACAATTGAATGATAATTGTGTTGGTCGTCAGAATACGGTTGGTTGTCAGAAAGACTATGGGTAAGATATGGTGCGTCTAATATTTATAGGGGCAGGAAGGACCGACTCTTGAGTTTGTTGCGAGCGGTGCCGGCTGCTTTCTTGATGTCGTTGGTGACTGCCTCCAAATCATCTTGAATCTCTGGTGAGCACAGTGAAAGACAAAAAAGAGTGGTTGTAACATAGAAGTATCAACAAGCCACAAACGATGAAAAATATGGAATGGAAAGAAAGGGAAAGAAAGTGGGGTGAGATAACAAAGAGATGAAGAGAGAGAGAGAGTGAAGGAGAGAGAGGGGGACAGAGAGAGAGAGGGATTGAATGCTGATGTTTACTCTGATCTGATGTAGGGGCGGAGAGGATGGTAGAGTACAGCTTCTTTGCTTGCGCCACACTCTCATCTATCTTATCAATGCTGCTGCGAATCTCCTCAATCTGAGACAGAGACAGGCAATGATGACACACTGGTGAACATACATGCACACAAACACACACACACACACACAAACAAACACACAAACACAAACACACACACACACACACACACACAGTATGGTGAACGCGCCCACACACACAAACCCACACACACATCAGGAGTATGGTCAGAAATACCTGGGCGAAGAAGTCATCCATAAAGGCTTGGTTCTCCACTGGAATCTCCACATCGTCCCCAGGCACATCACTTTTCTGTTGACACACACACACACAGACAGCCAGAGTTGTTGTGGTGGTGAGTTTGTGGTTAGATAATCACACTCACAGGTTTTTTAGCGGTTCTTCCATCACTGAAACAATGTGTTTTTGAATCCACTATAACGTTCATTTTTTTACCAGACACAATAAGGCCTACATGGATGACCTTGAGACCTTGGAAGAGGTGCAGGAAATTAGGAGAAAACATTTGTAATCTTTCCTTAAATCAACCCTTTTGTTCCTCTCTCTGTATCCATCCTCCTCCATTTGTAACGCACCACCAATAAACAAGTGTACAGCCTAAATATCATCACACCCCAATTAAGCCTACCTACTTCCTAGAATAACTTCATGCTCTAATGTTTATTATCCCAGTGTTCAACTAGGCTATTTCTATTTCCGCTTTTCTAGGCCTGAAAATGGGATCAAACAGCTGATCGAATGTTGTGGACCAACCGCATCTAGTGCCTGAAAACAAATGAGTAAATCAGATAGGTCCCCAAAAACAAATGAGTAAATCAGATACGTCCCCCATCCCTTTTATACAATTCTATATGATTAGCAACGGTTCTATATTAAACTAATAGCAAGCAAGGCCAAGAAAACACGAACAAGTGTACAGAATGACAAAGCTTACCGCCTTCAACTGTTCCAATCGGTCCTTCATCTTCAAAACTGTGTTGTCACTGTCACAATATCTGAACTATCAAAAAGCGATATATTCTCATTTACAACTACTAAGAAAACGGTTACCAAATTAGACCATTACAATTTATTAGCCTACTGATTAATCCAGTGACTTCGACGACAATACGTTTCAAAGTTAGTTGTAAAAATATTTAGTAGGCTAAATGGTCATTAGAATATGGTCATCAAATAAAAAAAGAACAATCTTTTTTTACAAAATGTCTGTTCAATATGGCTGCAGCAGCGTCTCCAACCTGTAGTTTTACTAAGCCTATCCTCTCAAGAAGGATTAGAGCAACAGTTGTGTAGAGGGCGATTTATCTCTCTCTCTCTCTGATCAATAGCATGCGTAAAAACGCATGCAAAGTAAATATCATGCTTGCTCGCTGTTTTGGGCGCACTATTCAAACAGGGCACTGAATGGAAAGGTAATACATTAAATTCTAAATCTGTAAAGTCAACACACTAGGTTGTCCATCTATAAATAAAATAAAATGAGGGTGTATTTGTATTGTTATTTCTTGACCCCATCTGCTTGTAAATATAGCTAAATAAGGCCAGGTCAACAAAAGAAAGTCATGCAATGATTATTGATTAAGGAATATATTTTTGTATTCCTTTTTTATTTGCAACACCATTCCCCCTGAAAATAGATGAGGTTACACAGGTTTCTGACAATAGGCCTAGATAGAATTCTCAAATGCAATGTGTTTAGAAGTTGCTAATACAATCAGTTGTTTCATGAAATCTTACTTTGGGCAGACAAACTGACTGTGATTGTGAGAACTTTTAGCTGACAAAGGCTTAGTCTTTGAGCTGTGGGTTTTCTCTAACATTTTACAGGGTCCTGGTGTCGTGATATCTGAGAAAGCTATAATGCAAAGTTTATCTGCCAGGTAGTATATACTGCTATACTGCTCATCTTTCATCTACTTTAAATAATAAACCCCCCACTCCCTTTTTCCACCATCCCCTCTTCTTCTTCTCCTCCATTCAGTTCCTCTCTTTCCTCAGGTTTGAAGGCACACAGAAAGTAATTGCTTTGGCTGCACGTTTTATCATTCCATTCCTCTTAATCTCCATCCTAATCTCAGATATATTTCCTATTTTCTGCTGTCTCAACCTCTTACACATTAAAAGTTGCAAACCCTTCGTGTTTGTCTAGAAGGTATGTGCAATCCCCTGGGTACATTTGCAGCCTAAAATGTTGTCACCCTTGCACTTCTCAACAACAAAAACACTCCAGTTATTATTTTACTTTTCCCGTTGAAAAACGATATCCCAAGTATAACTACGGTAATGTATGACCAAATGAATAATTCAAAGAAAATAACATCCTCCCTACAATCAAACATGGGAGAGTTTTGATTATACTGTGGGGTTGCTTTGCTGCCTATGGTACTGGGGGCCTTCAACATGTGCAAGGCATCATGAAATCAACAGATTATCAAGGGGTTTTGGAGTGCAGTGTTCAGCCCTGTGTCCAAAACTAGGTCTCCGTTGAAGGTAGTGGGTATCCAGCAGGACAACGACTCCAAGAACACATAAAAAAGCGCCCAGGGCTGTTTCAAGAAGAAACACTGGAATGGAATTGTCAGCAATGAGTCCAGATCTGAGTCCCATCGAAAACCTACGGCGAGATCTGAAAAAAGCAGTTGGTCAAAGGCACCCATCAAACATTGAAGAATTGGGAGCAGTTTACAGCTGAAGAGAGGGCAGAATTGCCAGTAGAAAGGTACAGCAAGCTCATCGAGGGCTACAAGAAGCGTTTGCCGGCAGTTATGCTGACCAAAAGCTGTGCAACCAATTACTAGTACTGGGTGCTAATAATTTTGTCAATGCTATTTGTTTTTATTTTCTCAAATTGTAGTTTCTCCCCCCAAAAAATTGGTTCTGCAATGTTGAAAATCGAATAACCAGGTGTGGAGACAAAGTTATTTTCAATTTTAATTTATTTTAGACAGAATTATTTAAGAAAAGTGCAAGGGTACCAATATATTAGGCCACAAAATGTACATCTGTCTGCTGGTTGTTTCTCAAGAGAGCAACTTGTCAAGACAACTTTTCATGACAGAACACAACATGAGGAGAAACGTACTACAGTGCCTTCAGAAAGTATTCACATCCCTACACTTTTTCCACGTTTTGTGTTACAGCCTGAATTTAAATGGATTACATTTAGATTTTGTGTCACTGGCCTACACACAATACCCCATAATGTCAAAGTGGAATTATATTTTAGAAATGTTTACAAATTAAATAAAAAGCTGAAATGTCTTGAGTCAGTAAGTATTCAACACCTTTGTTATGACAAGTCTAAAATTCAGGAGTAAAAATGTGGTTAACAAGTTACCTTACATGGACTCACTGTGTGAAATAATGTTTAACATGGTTTTCGAATTACTACCTCATCTCTGTACCCCACACATACAATTATCTGTAAGGTCCCTCAGTAGAGCAATGAATTTAAAACACAGATTCAACCGAAAAGACCATGGAGGTTTTCCAATGCCTCGCAAAGGGCACCCACTGAGAAAAAAAAAAGCAGACATTGAATATATCCCTTTGAGCATGGTGAAGTTCACTGGAGGCTGCTAAGGGGAGGACGGCTCATAATTTCTGGAATGGAGTCAATGGAATAGCATCAAACACATGGAAACCATGTGCCTGATGCATTTGATACCATTCCACTGATTCCGCTCCAACCATTACCACAAGCCCGTCTTCCCCAATTAAGGTGCCACCAACCTCCTGTGGTGAAGTTATTACAGTTTGGATGGTGTATCAATACACCCAGTCACTAAAAAGATACAGGCATACTTCCTAACTCAGTTCCCGGAGAGGAAGGAAGCCGCTCAGGGATTTCACCATGAGGCCAATGGTGACTTTAAAACAATTACAGAGTTTAATGGCTGTGATAGGAGAAAACTGAGGATGGATCAACATTGTAGTTATTCCATAATACTAACCTAAATGACAGAGTGAAAAGGAAGCCTGCACAGAATAAAAATATCCCAAAACATGCATGTATTTATGAATTTACTATACAATTTTATGTTGTGGAACCTGTACATTTTCAATCCCTGTCAACCAAACCACAGGCACCTCTGAATAATAAAATGCTGTCAAACATCAGCCAGGTAGTCCCACAGGCAAGTGAAATTTGCTTTTTGCTCAATTCCAGTCACACACCTATTTTGTTCACCTGAATTGACACAGCAGATAGTTTATATTCAAATACTTTTTATTTAGTGTGATTTCATATCACCCTTAGTCACTATCGTATAGCGAGCGTACAAAGTCTTTCATTTGTGTGTGTGTGTGTGTGTGTGTAATGCCTACTGTGAGCAGTCAAATTCTACTCCCGTTTGTCTTCACGCTACGAGAGACACATTTTCAATTTGAAACACAAAAACAAAACAAACATCGGGGAGGGGGGCTTTTACAATTAAAGGCCAAGGGTTAAGGTCAGCAATAGGCCACACCCCAAGAACACTGGAAAGGCCAGCGAAAGTTCACAGGTTAAAGGTCGTCGTCTTCATCTGGGAGCGCAGTTTCTGCGGCAACCTGAAGTGGTGAGGAAAAATAGAGTATTCATTATTTTTGTCACCTGTAAAATTAAGTTCCTGAAATAAATAACACTTCAAAACACTGACCCAGCCTGTGTGTGTACGGTGTATAGCGTGTGCGACTTCTGCATTTGTGTGTGTTCTGCATGCGTGTCACCTGCATGTGTGTGTACGTTCTCTGCACGTGTGTGTGTACTCACTTTAAGGTCGTTCTCGTACTGCGCGGCCAGGGAGGCATCCATGACGACTTCCGGGGGGGCAAGGGCGGGCATCTCCACAAACTCCAGGTTGGGGTCTCCTACCAGCTTCCTGGCCAGCCACAGGAAGGGCTTCTCAAAGTTGTAGTTACTCTTGGCTGAGATGTCGTAGTACTGATGGGGAGGTGGAGAGAGAGTCAGTCAACTAGGTATCGTCTTATCTATCCAGGCTTGCTCTCATTCACACACAGTACCAGTCAAAAGTTTGGACACCTACTCATTCAAGGGTTTTTCTTTATTTTTACTATTTTCTACATTGTAGACAAATAGTGAAGACATTAAAACTATGAAATAACACATATGGAATCATGTAGTAACCAAAAAAGTGATAAACAAATCAAAATATATTTTATGAGATTCTTCAAAGTAGCCACCCTTTGCCTTTGCACACTCTTGGCATTCTCTCAACCAGCTTCATGAGGTAGTCACCTGGAATGCTTTTCCAACAGTCTTAAAGGAGTTCCCACATATGCTGAGCACTTATTGGCTACTTTTCCTTCACTCCGCGGGTTGAGGTCAGGTGATTGTGGAGGCCAGGTCATCTGATGCAGCACTCCATCACTCTCCTTGGTCAAATAGCCCGTACACAGCCTGGAGGTGTGTTTTGGGTCATTGTCCTGTTGAAAAACAAATGATAGTCCCACTAAGCACAAACCAGATGGGATGGCGTATCGCTGCAGAATTCTCTGGTAGCCATGCTGGTTAAGTGTGCCTTGAATTCTAAATAAATCACAGACAGCACCCCCACACCTCCATGCTTCACGGTGGGAACCACACATGCAGAGATCATCCGTTCACCTACCAGACCAAAGGACAGATTTCCACCGGTCTAATGTGTTTCTTGGCCCAAGCAAGTCTCTTATTCTTATTGGTGTCCTTTAGTAGTGGTTTCTTTGCAGCAATTCGACCATGAAGGCCTGATTTACACAGTCTCCTCTGAACAGATGATGTTGAGATGTCTGTTACTTGAACTCTGTGAAGCATTTATTTGGGCTGTATTTTCTGATGCTGGTAACTCTAATGAACTGATCCTCTGTAGCAGAGGTAACTCTGGGTCTTCCATTCCTGTGGCGGTCCTCATGAGAGCCAGTTTCATCATATGGCTTGATGGTTTTTTGCGACTGCACTTGAAGAAACTTTCAAAGTTCTTGAAATGTTCCGGATTGACTGACCTTCATGTCTTAAAGTAATGATGGATTGTCGTTTCTCCTTGCTTATTTGAGCTGTTCCATAATATGGACTTGGTCTTTTACCAAATAGGGCCATCTTCAGTATACCCCACCCCTACCTTGTCACAACACAACTGATTGGCTCAAACGCAAAAAGAAATTCCACAAATTAACTTTTAAGAAGGCACACCTGTTAATTGAAATGCACCTCATGAAGCTGGTTGAGAGAATGCCAAGAGTGTGCAAAGCTGTCATCAAGGCAAAGGGTGGCTACTTTGAAGAATCTCAAATATATTTTGATTTGTTTAACACTTTTTTGGGTTACTACATGATTCCATGTGTGTTATTTCATTGTTTTGATGTCATCACTATTATTATACAATGTAGAACATAGTAAAAATAAAACACCCTTGAATGAGTAGGTGTGTCCAAACTTTTGACTGGTACTGCATATCTGATCAAATCTATTAAAAAAGGAACCAGGAAGGGAGAAACACAGCACTCCAGCTGAGGAATATAGACTTGTACAGACAGTGTTTTTTACCTGTCAACTACCACTCCTATCTAAACAAGTGCGTCAGGCTGGTGTTGCCACGGTTACCTGAAGGTTCTTCTTGCGGTGGAACACAATGCTCTTGGCTTTGACCTTCCTGTCCTTGATGTCCACCTTGTTGCCGCACAGGACTATGGGTATGTTCTCGCAGACGCGCACCAGGTCACGGTGCCAGTTGGGCACGTTCTTGTATGTGACGCGAGATGTGACGTCGAACATGATGATCGCACACTGGGCTGGAGAGAGGTAGGGGAGAGAAAAGTGGAAGGGGGAGAGTGATCGAGTGTATCAGATAATCATTAAATGTGGTGCCCGTACCCATCCGAGTCATTTTGCACCAGAGGGCTCATAATGTGGGCAAGATTGTGTAGAGATCTGAGGAAAGGATTTGACCTACTCTGCATGTACTACAATACACAAACATGTGACCCACACAACTGTGACGTACCCTGTATGTAGTAGCCATCTCTGAGCCCCCCAAACTTCTCCTGGCCGGCTGTGTCCCAGACGTTGTACTTGATGGTCCCTCGAGTGGTGTGGAAGACCAAGGGGTGCACCTCTACCCCCAGAGTCGCTACAGGGGGAGAAGGGGGAGCGAGGGGCAGGTCAGCCATGGTTCAGGGATCTAGAAGGGTTTAAACTCTATGGATTGCGTTTTTTTTTTTTATCACACTACCCACCTAGCTAAAGTTAGCCACAATAAAAATTGTAATTCGTAACCTATACGTTTTGCAAATTACATATACGAATTTTAATTCGTAACATATGCGAAATGAATTTCCTTCCCTTACAAAATGTAACATATCCTACCAAAGGGATCCTACCTCAGAGTCCAGGTTGAAAAACAATGATGAAGCATAGTATCTAAGACAGGCAGAAACTGCTTTTCCAATAGAAATCCCAGATTATGCTTTTAGGCGATGTCATGGCGACGTTGGCTAGCTAAGCTCATGCCAGAAACACGTCATCGTGTCTTTTTTTGTAGATAATTATAAAGTTTGCCTGCAAACTAAATTTCCTTATGGAGAGAATTAAGACTGATTATTGATTGGTGGGGTTATAAAGGAGAATAAGCAGAAGACGAAGAAGAGGTATGTAAAGCTGAGAGAAGACTATCGGGACTAAGAAACTCACCAACGTATTTCTTCTCAAACTCTCCCGTTAAATGCCTCTTCACGAAGGTAGTTTTTCCTGTGCCTCCATCACCGCACAACACTAGCTGAAACATGGATAGTAATTAAATAACACATTGGTCAAAAGGAATAGCAACTAAACACCAATGTAGTACTGGTTAGTGCTAGACAAAGGAACAATTCCAACCCAAAGGGTGTATCCCAAACGACACCTATATAGGTCTAGTACACTACTTTTGACCAGAGCCCTATGGGCCCTGGACAAAAGTAGTGCACTATATAGGGAGTAGGGTGCAATGAGACACAGTCAAAGACTCACCTTAAATTGTACATCTGGTTCTGCCATAGCGGTCTGTTCTCTGTGTTAGTGATTATATGCTGAAATAACAAGAGGACAAGATGAACATGTTAACAATTGGCAGTGTTTCTGTCCCAAATTGCACCCTTTTCCCTTTATAGTGCACTACTTTTGACAAGTATTAATCATCAAAAGACAGTATCAATCATCAATCAAGAAGCCACAAGTGGTGCTGCTGGTGTGATGCGGCTTCACAACAATACCTGCCAAAAGTGACTACAGACACCATGTCCTATTAGTGTTAACTACTTGAGTAATTCACATATTATTCAGTTATTGATGCTTGGTTGACATGACTGTCTTGACACTAGGAAAGCAATTTGAATGCGTTTTGTTTTTGACATGGTGGAGAGAGGCCGAAAAACCAGCCTGGTCTCAGACTAGGCGTAACATAGTAAAAATAAATCCAGGACACTCAAATTAGTGTAATATGTGACGTTTGGCATGGTTAAATAGACAGAAAGTTACTTAAGGCAAACACGAAAGGAGGTTGGTTGGTCAGGGTGGATGGGTAGGCGCATAACGCGAACGTCTGGAAACCCAAAAGTTGAGCGTTCGAATCTCATCACCGACAAATTTAGTATTTTAGGAAACACTTACTACTTTTTAGCGACTTTGCAACTACTTAGCATGTTAGCTAAACCTTCCCCTAAACCTAACTCCTAAACTTAACCCTAACTTTAACCCCCAACTAATGTTAGCCATCTAACTAACATTAGCCACCTTACTAAAGTTAGCCACAATAAATTGTAATTCGTAACATATACGTATTACAAATTACATATACGAGTTGTAATTCGTAACATATAATGCGAAATGGATGACAGACATCCACAAATGAATTCCCTTCCCTTACGAAACATATCCTACCAAAGAGAAGGAGACACATTTACATTTACTATGTCTACCCCAGAATCCAGGTTGAAAAACAATGATGAAGCCTAGTATGCAAGACAGGCAGAAACTGCTTTTCCAATAGAAATCCGAGATGACGCTTTTAGGTGATGTCATGGCGACCTTGGCTAGCTAAACTCATGCGCAGGAACACGTCATCGTGTCTTTTTTTGTCGACAATTATAAAGTTTGCGTATAAAATATACTGAACAAAAATATAAACGCAACATGCAAATTTTTTTACGATTTTACTGAGTTACAGTTAATATAAGGAAATCAGACAATTTTTATAACAACTTGAGCCCCCCCCCCCCCCAATACACAAATTTAGATTAAAGAAAACTCCCCCCGTCATACGAATACAAATGTTGTCGACCTTTAGAAAATGTCCATTATATTTACCGTTTCCATTACATGTTGCAATGACTTTATTTGCGACATTGCATTTGTCGAAAAAACCTTGGCCAATGGAAACCTGCCTACTGTAGCCTAATGGAAGTGGTCCAACTGTACACACCGTATTGCTGCAGTTATAGCGTGCTATAGTTTCAGCACATGTGCAATCCAATGGGAAGTCCAGTCAACCCGCCTACCCCCATATTTAGCGAGCTACAGCACTTTTTCATGAGGCTTCGCGTTACACATGGTCCAGTAGCTAATAATTTGTTTTTACGAAAATGTACCAAAACAAAAGTGTTGCATTTACAACTCTGCATGACCATGATACACTGAAGTTGCAGCTCGAACAAAACAAGTTGATATCTCTAGCTCGCGCCACTGGGAACCAACGTCCTGTGACTATGTTAACAAGCTATCAAACGTTAGCTAGCTAGCTAGACAGCTAAACTTTGTTTAGGACGAGGCATGAGTGTCAACACAATACAATAACGCTAATCCTGTATTCAGCTCTTTGAATTGATGTCTGTGTTTTGACATGGCTGAGTAAATTTGTAATATTTTCTAAACTCTTACGTCCACACTTACCCCCACGGTTTCGGATGGAATAGCAAGCTAGGCACTAAAGGTGCTATGGGCCTTCAAGCACCTTCGATGAATTTGGCTAATGTGGTGACGTTCTTTTTGCCTTTATCACGTGATCTCTGACATGGTCGAGAGAGAAGGTTGTTGATGGTTTTATCAAAGACAGTACTATATGAATATAGGCAGAAACTGTTTCTCCAATAGACGGGTTGGTTGTTTAGCAACAAAACTGACAGGTGTGCAACTATGGGGCAAAACAGACGGGGTTGGCTTAGATTGTTGACAACATGTAAACTAGAATGAGTGAGTGTACAAAACATCCGGAACATCTCTTCCGATTACAGACTATCCAGGTGAAAGCTTTGATCCCTTATTGATGTCACCTGTTAAATCCACTTCAATTAGTGTAGATGAAGGGCAGGTTAAAGAAGGATTTTAAAGCCTTGAGACATGGATTGTGTATGTGTGCCATTCAGAGTGTGAATGGGCAAGACAAAATTCAGAGCTGCCAACTCTCACGCTTTCGCCGTGTGACACACGTTTTTGCCTGTTTTCACACGCACTCACGCCACACATCCAATTTCTCACGCAAAAAGAATCGGCCCAGACTCTTTCGTTCCTTTTTTCAAACTCCCCGACGGTAGATGGCGCTGATGAGCGCCACTGAACCATATGCGCTGCACCCCGAAGTTAGCGACAGAAGAAGAGATACAATTGCCGCGAAAGACAACATGAGAAGAAACGGTCGCTACCTCAAGAAGTCTGATAAGAAGCTGAGCTGAGACTAGGTATGTAACAATGAAATGTCGTCCAATTGAGTACTCACTCTCTTAAACTTTAAATCTTGAAAGAAATTATTTGTTTGTGCGTGTGAACATGATTTAGTGTGGTGAATGTAAACTCAGCTGATTTCGAACAGGTAAGATGTATTCCAAAGAATTTAACATAAATACAGGAAATGTGTGCAATAGAAGTAGGTATGTTTTTGTAACTGAGAGTAGAGTTATTAAACCAACATGACCATTGTTGTTTAAGGTTTCAAAGATGTCCCGTAAGAGACCTTTGCCAGGACAAAAGCGAAACCTTTTATTTTATTTAAAGAACCAGCCAAGTGAGAAAAGACAGACAAACACACTGACAGAACAGCCAGAACGATTGATAGAAACGACAGGACAACAGACAGAGGAGCAACACAAAGGACAGAGAGAGCAGGAGACAGGACAGACTGACAAACAAGCAGAGGAGCAACAGACAGGACAGATTGACGCACATGCAGAGGAGCAACAGACAGGACAAATAGAACAACCAACAGGGCAGATGGAAGGAGACACAGAGGGACAGACAGTAGAGACCCCCCCCCCCCCCCCCCCATCCAACAGCAGGACTAAGTCATCCTGCATTACCAATGAAGCACTCGCACCATATTTCACACAGGAGCTTGTGAAGGAGATGAAAAAAGCCCCGTATACCCTTGTTACGGATGGGTCGAATGACACTGGTATTTCACAAACTATTTGAGATTTTTCTCCTCTGCAAAACATGTGCTTTGTGTATTTTTAATCATCTAATAACATGAACATCTGTATGATTCTAACTTGTCATTATAGGAGTGGAAAAGATGAACCCGCTTACTGTCCGGGTCTTCATGGGCAGCAAAGTTGTCCACCAGTTTTTAAATATGTGCACAACAAGTGGGACGAGATGTGGGCCAGCAAGTGAGATCTTCACCAAAATTACCTCCACCATAGAGGAGCATGGCATCCCTTGGGAGAACTGCATTGGTCTCTCAGTTGACAATGCAGCTGTGAACATTGGACCACGTAATTCCATTGCCTCTAGGGTGCTCCAGAAGCATCCCAACACCTATATTCATGGTTGTCCTTGTCATGTGGCACATAACACCGCCAAAGCTGCAGGAGTGGGATTTTTTAAAATGAGTTAAGGCCTGATTTATCGTTACATGTAACTTTTTATTTGTATCCTAATTACGTGCATTGACTGAATGTGTTATGATTGATTTATGCATTGCAGGTGTCCGGTTTTGATTTGGAGGATATGGTAGTGGACATCGGTTACTGGTTCAAGGGTAGCACAAATCGGAAAATATATGATATGGATTTAATGTCTAAAACAGAGTTTTGTGAGCTCCATGAAGCGGAGTACATGGAGGTCCTCCTGCATATCTCGGTCTGTTGGCTAAGCCTTGAACGTTGTGTGACCAGGATCCTGAGGCTGTATGAACCTCTGGCCAGCTACTACAAATCTGCTAGTATGGTCATCAATTTTCAATTTCATTATGCAGCAACTACATGGATTGTTAGTCACATACTTGTATTAATGACAACCTCTTGTTTTGTGTTATTTATTGATTGATTCAAGATGAAAATCAGGCCAGGTTCAAGAGACTTGTGCAGACATTCACTGACCCCATGACAGAAGTGTACCTGCTGTTCTTCCAAGCCACCGTACCAACTTTCACTTCTTTCAACTTGCTGCTTCAGAGAGAGCAGTCATCAATATTTTTGTTGCATGATGAGGTGGGATTGGATTTTGCTGTTTTTTTCCATTCTGTGTTTCTTGCTGATATCTGCAGGGATCCTCTAAAACAGGTTTCACCTACTATTTTTGTAAATGTCTGTTATAGATGGTGAAATTCGTATGCAAGCTATGTTCCAAGTTTATGGTTCCAGCAGCTCTGCAGTGCCATGAGGAGCCTTGTGAAATTGCCTTTAAAGAAAAGGCAAACCATTTACCAGGTTAGTATTTGACTATTATTATGATCAAACACTGTGATATGTGATATTTAGCCTTGTACCTTATACCGATATGCTGTATCTGTGACAGGAAGAAAGTTGAACATTGGGTTCACAACCAGGGCTAAACTTAACAGATTACTCGACGAGGGTGACATCACACCACAGCAGGTGGATTCATTCCATTAAGCTGTGTTGTGTTTCCTGACAAGTGCTGTGGACTATGCACTTAAGAAGCTGCCACTGGAAGAGCCACTGATCAAGCACGCACAATTTGTAGATGTACGGCAGAGGGCTGAAAGTGACATCGAAGATGTCCTGTACCTTGTTGAAAGGTTAGTTTTTTTTCTCTAATTATTGTCTATCATCTTAGCTAAAATACCCTGTGTTTTATGATGAGGTGTGTTCACTCCTAAACTGCACATGAGATATTCTTATGTGGCTTCTCCTCAAAGATGTGTATGAACTGCTGCTGGTTGATGACTATATACCTAAAACGTAACAACTTGTAACTCTACTTTCATAAATAGGTTTCCCCATCTCCTCCCATACCATGGGCCAGAGGAGCATGACCTTCTGGGTGAGGAGTTTCTAAATTATCAGACCATGCCAATGATATCCCTGCAGGACGAAACTGAAATGGAAAGCTTCTGGGCTGAAATGGCAACCCGGAAGCATAAGGTAAATTTTTTTTCCTTTTTTGTCTTTCCTTTTGGCAGGTGTGGCTTGGCTACATCTGTTGCTTAAAATTGTTGCATGCATATATGTGTCATGCATGTTGCAAATTATGCATGTTTTTATCTGAACTTTGTTAATGGATCAACCTACAGTATACTTACAGTATTAATCAATCAAAAATCAAGGTATGTTTTTCCATTGTGTTTTGGTGCATTTTCCATAGGTGACAGGAGCCAAAGAATTTGAGAGGCTTGCTGCCGTCGCCAAGCTTGTCCTGGTGTTGCCCCATGCAAACGCAGATGCTGAGAGGGTGTTTTCAGTTGTGGGACTGAACAAAACCAAGAGAAGAAACAGCCTAGCATTGGATGGCACCCTGTCCTCAATAATGACCATAAAGATGGCCAATCTGGAGCCCTGCTTCGAATGGGAGCCCCCCTCCGATATCATCAAGGCCTCCAAGAAAGCCACAGGCCAGTATAACCATGCCGACAGATCATAGACAAGAGGCTCATTTGAGATGGGCCAGGTCTGCGCAGAATCGATCACCGGCGATCACCGCCCAATGCATGCTGGTTAGATTTGTGTCCGACTTGATCCCGACTTTCTCTGACGTCATGCACACGTGGGCAACGATAACCTCATGAGATCAAGGTGGCCGCAGTTCTGAGACGCAGGCAGTGCAATTGCTTTTCACCGACTGCAGGACCCAGGCGGACCCAGGACAAAATCTCACTCCAAGGTTTTTTTGAAAAGTTGGCAGGTATGCTGTCAGTAATGAACGTTTCTATAGAAAACTGAGTGTTTATCCCGCACAGGTGTTTCAAAGGGATATTAGCTGAAATCTGGAGCAAGCCCTATTAAACAGCCTTATCTCAAAACCTGAATATGAATACCTTTGCTGCAAATGTGCCATATGTCCATGCCTGTACATTTTGCCTAAATTACACAAACCTAAAACACAAGGCAATTATCCAGGCAGACCAGTGGTTGCAGGAATAGGCTCAATGCTGGAGCCATTGTCGAACTTCGTAGACTCTTTTACTAAATCTCATGTGCAAAGCATTGCCATCATATGTGAAAGACTCTATAGACTTCATAAATAAGATCTCACCAATAACAGGATTAACAGAAGACTGTATTTTGGTCACATTAGATGTTGAGAGTCTATATACCAGCATTCCTGACATGGGGGGTCTGGCATCCCTAGCTCACTATTTGAGAGAAATACCCACCAACAAACTTGATTCTAGAGCTGGCTGAATATGTTTTGATGTAGAACAATTTCAGGTTTGATGATGAATACTACCTCCAAAGGAATGGAACATCGATGTGCTCCACATTCGCTCCAAGTTATGCTAACCTTTATGTGGGTCAATTTGAAGAACGTTTTGTTAACAATGAACATTAAAATCCATTCTTGAATAAAATCCTGAATTGGTATCGATATATTGACAAACATTTTTGCATATGGGGAGGAACAGGAGAAGAGCTGTCAGACTTTAGGGCATTACTCAATGACATTGACCCTAATCTCACATTCACTATTGAATGTGACAGGTAACGTGTTGATTACCTCGATATGTGGATTGAGAAATCAAATGGAACCCTGTTTACAACTCAGTACAGAAAAGAAACAGACATAAATACTATAGTACAGGGGGACAGCT